TCTGAACGGCAAATGGATTTTATGAGAAGCTTTTTCATAGCAGAAATATAATAATAATAATAATAATAATAGATTGGCGCTTTTACATATGTTAGTGTTTTACCGAGCTTCTCCTCCGATTTGTGGCGTGCGCCTTGATGATGCTCTCGGAGGTTTACCATTGCCTTCCGAGGGGCGACCGCCGTTAAGAGAAAACTTGTTTCTATATATAAATATATTTTTTGCGATGTTGCGCACTGCTAACCACTACACCACAGCGGCCAGAAATATGGCAGAACTATACTCCTTCTAATTTGGATGCTGCTTGAACCTAGATCCTGCGGAGTGATCGCACGCTCTTCTAACCAAGTAGCTGCATTGGCCGTTGCAATATATTGTTATAACCAGATCTCCTTCGCTTTCGACTAACAACCAGTAGTCAGCTTTGGCAGTAAAGATGCAAGAGGAAATGCTCAACAAGTAAAATGAAATCGAATAGCATTAGCAATTGAGTATTATTGGGGTTAAGAAACGCTGAGTGGAATGATACGATGCACGGTGGTATTGCGGTGGGAAAAATACAATATTTTGAGTATTTAGTTTTTATATTCGAATGGTTTAGCCTAACAAAGTGATATTTGAATAAGACCAAGTAGAACAAATAGTAGGAAGTATAAGTTCGGGCGAAACCGAACTTTATATACCCGGCGCAGGTATTAAATATCGTCGTTTCAACTTTCTCTAAACTACCTTTGCATGGTAATCAGGACTGTTTTCCCGATTTCAAACATTTTCGATAATATGCTGAGCTATGCTTAATTATTTATAATGGAACTAAGTTTGGTAGAAATCGATAAAGTGGTTACCGAAAACGCCTTTGTAGTCATAAAGTGGGCGGTGCCACGCCCAATTCCTAAAAGTCTATAGAAGTCTTATTTATTTATAAGATATTGATGTTAATGAAATACCGGAGTTTTCGTATTTCTGCAATTTAGCGTTATACGGGAAGCGGGTGTAATTTTAGTCCGGTTAGAATTATTTTTCACGAATTTCTTTTCCGTACCAGGGTTGTTAAGTCTACCAAGTTTGAAACTTATAATTCGGCTACCGAGATACACATTTGTGGTCATAAATGGGGGGCGCCACGCCCATTATCCAAAAATTCATAATAATCAAATTTTCTGTTAAAAGGAGATTGAAATAATTGATTTTAGGTGAATTAGCGTTAGTATTTGTTAATTTATCACAGTTTTCGTGTTTTTGTAAATTACCGTTTTATGAGAGGTGGGCGTAGTTATTGTCCAATTTCAAAGAATTTCAACAGATTTGTTAGCTAGACCATAGGCAAGATTTGTACCGAGTTTGGTAAGGATTGGTGAAGCGGCTACTGAGATATTTACAGCATTTTAGAATAAGTGGGCGGGGCCACGCCCATTTTTCAAAAATTCCCTACCTTGGATAAATGGAAACCTACATACCAAATTTCGTTGAGATATCTCAATTTTTGCTCGAGTTATCGCGTACACGGACAGACGGACAGACATGACTTAATCAACTTCTCTATTAATTATGAGCATTTATGTATTTAGATTTATTTGTCTATATCTATCTTGGTTCGTTTTGGCTGTTACAAACGACGGTTATGTGAAAAAAGTTAGTATACCCCTGTGCACGGTTGCGCTCGGGTATACAAATTCATTATAACTTTGTACGAAATTGGCACTTTTATACAAAATAAAAGCAACAAAAGTCTGAAGAATTCTACTCAACTGAAACCGATTGTGATGTTTGTTCACTTAAGCAAGGTGTTTTCCTCATAACTTTTATTTTATTGTATTTGTTGCAGGTTCATACGAAATTATAGCACTTATATATATAGCATTTTGTCTAGAAAAATAGAGAAAAAAGCAGGGTAATCAGCAAAATATTTTAATAAATCTTAGCAAAGAAAAATTACTCTTTATAAATGTTTCCTCCACCTTCTTACTATAAAAAAATTATCGACTTCTGAAAAAAATGTGGCTCATATTTGCGACTTTTAACGTAACCCCATATAGAAATAATGGCACGTTGTTTGCATGGGAGGTATGTGTTAAATAAACCGATTACTCCCATTTTTTGGATGTTAGTTACTTATTATTATTATTATTACTAACATATGAGCAAAATTTTGGAGTAATATGTTCATCTGTCGGCTTTTTGTGGCCTTTTTAAGGCGTTTTCGAGGTTAGGTTTCTGTGGGTGATATGATATGCTTTGAAATAAATCGATTACGCCCAATTTTTGAGGATTCACACGTAACGTTATTAAAAATATATAGAAACAATTTCTTGGTAATATATTCATTGGTAAGGTTTTTATGGAATTTTAAGGCATTTTTTAGGTTAGGTGTGTATGGGAAGCATGCTTTAAAACAAATCGATTAAGACCATTTTTTGGCGTTGTGACAAACATATGGAAAAAATGTTGGACTAATATATTCATCGGGGCAATTTTTATGGCAGTTTTAAGACGTTTTTGTGGCTAGGTTTATACGGGAGGTATGCTTTAAAATAAATCCATCACGCCAATGTTTCATTCTTTTCTTGATTTATATCCATAAATGTTAGTACGGAAAATTGAGGCTCTACGCCGATTCATACTAATTTTTTCCAAAAAATTTATGGCGGTGTACCACTGTGTGATGTACGCGTTGATGTGCATTAAAGGCAGGCGGCTGGAAACTAAACCAGTTTCGAGAAGTTGTTAAACGAGATTTTAAAGCAACAAGAAGGAGAATACACACTGATACAACTGTATGATTCTCATTCCCGCTTTTCTCCGGAGAGTAGAATTGGCTTAGTAAACTTGAAATGCACACACATATTTATGTAAACGATTGTGTGTACCCAAGCAGTGTTGCCAGGTTTTCGGCATGAGAAAACGTCCCTCTTGGTCTGAAACAACGTCATTTCCTATCCAAAAACGTATTTTCTATGTATGCACACGGAATTGTTCTTATTAAACTTTTATTGTATACAAAGGTACATATTTATGTAAGGTATATTAAAATGTCATTTCGACAGAACACATTTAAAATTCATTAGTGGCATTCACCAAAGTGAGCAAGTGGCCTGGCACTCTGGCAAAACAGCAGATGAGCTCAAGCAACGACTGTTGACAACAATTTGGTGAATACCACTATTGTAAACTGGTTTGAGATCGTTAATATAAAATTCATTTTATACATACACTTGTGATCAGCTGATTAAGTCATCAACACTTTGATCGATTTTGGCTGTTTCTCTTTTGCTTATTTAATGTTTATTATTTTTTCATAAAAGCCTAGCTCATTATATAACTAACACAATATAAATCCATATTCCAAACTTTGTGCAAAACTATGAAAAATCTGCAAAGTTTCAGCTAGATTTTTAAGTTTATATTCAGATTTTTTAGAATTTTTTAGAGTACGCAGTTTGATAGCCCATTAAATTCCAGGGTGCAAGTTTTAAGTTGCTAAAGAATCGTGTTGATTTTTAATATTTTATTTTTTCTTGTAGACATTTGGTTAGGCGGTCGGTTGTGGAAAATGCTTAATTACGTCCTGCTAAGAAGGAACATAGTGCTTTTGCGAGCGGGCGCGTTGCAAGCTCTTCCTGATTTGGCTTTTAATATGCAATTGCAAACATGGTAATAAGCCTTGTAACCTCAAGCGTTTACACAACCAGCCTTTAATGCGGTATCCTTAGTCCAAGAATAAAAAAAAAATCAATGCACGTACGCTTGGTTTGCATCATATTTAAATCATATGTGCAAAGAATAAATATCTTTTGAGGCACCTGCTGCAAAAAACAGAGCTTGTAAAGATTTATTAAGAAAATAATTCAAAATCAGTTCTACTTACAAGATTTAGACACTTAGTACGCAAATAGTACGCTATGCATTGAATATATTGTGCATAGAGAAAAATTACTGGGAAGTTAAAAATCGTCATTTTTTACACCGAAATCCAAATGTCAACAGGATACAAAAAACGTCCAAATGACGTTAAAAATGTCAGCCTGGCAACGCTGTACGCAAGTGTAAAAAACTATATTTGTTAAAATTAAATAACGCAAGCCACAAATTGGAGGTGAAGCTCGGTCAAATACTAACATATGTGTAAACGGCAATCTCTTATTATTCAATAACTCAAAACGTTTCGTTTAAAGCGTCAAGTTCGTTACTTGAGTCTTTTGTTTCGGACTATTTTGTAAACTGAAAGATAATTTTAGGGCTGCGACTATCCGTATATTCGTGTATCCGATTGATATTCGCTCATTTGGTTGACCGGGCATCCGGATATAAAATTGATTTCAAAATTACTGAATCTATCGAGTTGCAAATGAATTAATAAAACACTTCTTTAATACACAAACAATTTGTATTTTTTTCTTCATTTTAACATTCTATACACTATTCGGATCTCTATACACTCTCTAGTCGGAAATCCGAAAATTCTGATTTTTATTCAGATATTCGAATATCCGAATAATCAAAAAATCTGGATAGAACTCCCAATCCTAAACAATATGTATTGGTTATATTTTTTTTGACTAATATAGAACTACATCTCAAACAAATTAGAAGTAATTAGAAATTTGTTTTCAACTCATACTCTATCAGAAGTCCCGCCTGTGGACTATGATATAAAACGTCAAAACTTAAGGAATCCTTATTAAAAATCATCCTTCTTGCGAAAGCAAGAAAGCAAAAAAAAGTAACTGTGTACATATGTACATATTACTTTGCATCTAAACATGTTATAAGTAGACAGCGAATTTTTGTGCAAACAACAACCCTAAAATATGTACCACATAACTATAACCAAAATACATAAATTTGTAATACATTTTGCTTAAGTTTATGGTACTTATTTTATGGAAAAAATCCGCTGTCTAATTATAAGTTATTTTTATAATTTTTTATTGTTCCACTTAAATACATACATGTGTACGACCATAATTCTCATTATTATGTTATTAAGTGAAGTATTTTACCTGTTGTAAGTCATGGCGAAAATTGTTATTTGGCAAAGCTAGCTGATTGGATCCCGAAGAACCGGCGCCAGTATCCATTTTATTTATTAATCCCAATGAATGGAAACAGATACTGTAACTTAAACTATTGTTTGTTTCAAATAAAACGTTTAATGCATTTCAATTAGAATAACTATGTATGTTGCGTTTTGAAAGACCTTTGTAAGTTGTTGAACTGAGTTTGTCGTGAGCTCTGTATAGCTTTTTCTTCCTAAAAGACACGACACTCCTTACAGACATGGATATGCACATACATATGTACATACATACATATATTCATATCTGATTTTGTTTAACTGTATTCGAGAGTTTGCGAATATGGCAAAATACACGCGGATAACAGGTTCGTTGAGTATTCCCTCAAGTATAAGCAAACCTTAAACAGGTATTTTCATATTTAGGTAGAGGACAAGATCCAGCAGTTTTTTCAGCATTTGTCATTTTTATTTGTAAGCTTGTATAATGAATTTAAGTTACTTTATCACCACAAAAAACACCTCAATTCAACTAAGAGTTTTGGACACAAACTCAAATGCTTTGCAAAACTTAATTTTTACTTTTACTTGCCGTACTTCGAACTCACTTTTTCTTTACTTTTACATATTTATTTTTACTGCACTCATATTTAGTATACGTATGTATGTACATATGCACATATCTACGATACAATATTACTGAGTAAGCAATTATCACCGTAGTTGAGGTACTTATGTACATATATTTAAATGGTTTCATTCACCAGCATTCGTTTTCTTACAGCAAGCACCTCTCATAAGACTATGGCAGTACAAGCGCATTAAATATCAACAGAAATGCCGAAGCCAAATATACGCGACAAACTGAAAATGCACAGATTCTAAAACAGGTAGATACATAGTATTTGCTGTTGCGATCTACTCCGCTCTGCACTTTGTTCAGCTGCGACGTTTTAAGCTGATTTGTCCGTAAATATCGACCACTCGCGACAAAGACCCGGCTGCTTATGCAGCAACAATTGAATATGAAGTGCTTGACTACTGGCCTAGAGCCAACGAATCAGGGTTGCCACTTTGAGAAATTGTTACCAAAATTGGTAAAAAAATTTGGGTTAGTAAAAAAGTAAATTTTTTCTCATTTTCGTAGATTTTTGATGAAGTTTCCGTACCCGATTTATTTTTCGTAGTTATATTTAAATATATTATAAATTTCTTTGCATACTTTTTATATAATTATATACGTATAAATGTATATCGATATAAGGCGAACATATCGCGCTCCATTCAAAACTAATTTTACTGGAATCCCCAGGAACTTTTGATTGCCAAAATATTTTAAATGATTATTTAAATATAAAGAAAAAATAGACAGGTATGTAATTACGCACTATAATTGTTCGCAAAAAAATTAAATCAACGCCATTTTTTATAAATGGAAAAAAAAATAAAAAAATCAATGGGAATTTTAAGCAGCACATTTTTGGCTATACTCAAATAGTATTTGCTTTAAAACTCCATACCCCAAATTGTTCTAAAAATTCAGAGTAAAAAATTCGAAATTTAGACGAAAATTTTTGGAATTTTTCTATATGCTGTATATAGTTTGAATCCTCGATTTTTATGGATTTAGTTAAAGCAACAAAAAAATTGCGAATATTAAAAAAAATCACTTTTTTGAATCACTGTATTTGTCTATAATAACTCGAGTTGAAGTTTTTCAAATAATCAAGTTTCGTTGTTGCCTTTAGTTTCATCACTTCCGCTTTTGGTTGAAGGAAACTGAGAATATGCCAATAATATGACTCAAATACCATATAACCAGTTAAGTAAAAAGTTCTTAAAAACAATTTTAATTCTTATTGAAATAACTAAAAAAATAAATAAAAAAACTATAGTTTTAATTAAAATAAATAAAAAAATAACAAAACTATAGTTTTTATTAAAAGTTATTGGTAGATATTTCCTACATTTGGTAGATTTTATTCAAGGCGATGGTAAATATTTTTTTTGTCAATGGCAACCCTGCAACGAATTGAGTGCTAAAGAGAGGAGAAGAGAAGTACGTTAAGCTACAATAAGTGTTGCCAAACATCGGCTTTTTCTACCAAAACTGGTAGGTTTTTATCTATTTGGTAGCTTCCGAGATAGTTATTTGCGAAAAATAGAAAATATGTATCTCCAAACTTTTTAGCAACCTTTTGTACACGAATATTTCACCGGTGTGTTTTTATAACGGCGGCCACAAACATGTAAATATACCTGATACCTGTGTAAGTGCAAACGTATACCCTTATAATTAGCAATATACAATTGAACATCCATATATACTTTATGGCATACGTGGACCAAGATTTCAGAAAAGTCGCCAATGGGCTCGTACCCAACCATATTCCAGGCGGAGGTCTTCACAATCGAAGTCTGTGTTCGCGAATGTCATCGTAGAAGGTAGATATTCAGGCAGCGTTAAAGGCCTTACACTCTTTTAAAACGGAATCAAGGCTTGTGAACTCTTTAACCATCTAGGATCCCAAAATAGCGTAACACAGTGGTGGGTTTCGGGACCTGAAGGGTTTGAAGGCAAGAAAAGGCTGACCTCCCCGCAAAGCGTGGTGCCCAAATACCGCTCGCATGGTCCCGAGCTATTCTGTGGTACATCTAAAGGATATACTGCAGAACTACTTAGGAGCTAGCTGGAAATAATCTCGGATTGCTGCCAACTGGCGGAAGTAAAAGGGGATAAGACAATCAAAGAGATTCATAACACCTTCCAGGAGGAACTCCGAAAGACTCCTAGAACTTAGAATTCTTACTGACTACCTGACAGCACACTACAAGTTAACGTACCATTTGAATTAAATGGGTCTTTCTGTAGAGAAGGACTGTAGGTTTTGTGGGCTGGTGGAGGAAACCCCAATATATTCTATGGGCCTGCCCACGAAGCATGAATCGTATATTGATGCACCTTAGAGAACGATTGTCTTCTCCATCTAAAAGTTGGAACATGACATCATCCAAAGCGCTTAGCTTTTTAAATTGTTTAAGGTTGGGGAATCACTCCAATTAGGGTGTAGCACAATATATCTTCTTAGAGCGCAGCGAGAGATTCTTCGAAGTAATAATAATATCGTCACTAGACCCGACTAAAGACGGGCGAAAAAAAAACGCTTCAAAATACTTCTGCGAAGAAATACGCGTCAGTGGTGTAGCCAAGGGGGGATTTGGGGGATAGATCCCCCCCCCACCCTCCCCCCCCCTTCGCCAGTGACATGAAACTTTTTATTTTTGAATTAATACCACAATACTATTTTACCCTTCCGATTTATAATTTTTTTATTTCACACTGATGACAAATTATATTTTAATGGATATATAAAATTATTGGTTAGTGGAGTATGTATTTGAATATTTGCGAAATACACTAGGCCATTTTGCTTAGTTCCCCACTGTGTTGGGAAATTATCTTTAATCTATACAAAAATTGTACTTTTCGACTGTAAATTGTATCGACTTTTTAATTTGCTCATATGCATGCATGCATACGTAGATTCCCTTCAAGACCAATGCTTTGGTGGTATTCACGGGAAAGTTTATGTAGGTACATTTACATATTTTACACTTTTAACATAAATGTCAAGGCAGATATTTTAAGATACACTTCTTAACAAAAATTTTTTTTTAAGTTATTATGAATGGAAAAAAGAGACATCTTCCTTGAATTCAGTACTAAAACTTGACATTTCAAGTGCTTATCAAAACTTTATACATGTTAACTAGATTGGCCATTTGTCTTAAAATTATATAATTTTAATTATTTGTTTATAAAAATGCAGTTTACACTTTAACAAGACCCGTATAAATCCAAGGTTTAATCTTTGCGCAATATTAACAAAATCAACAAACTTTCGTAAAGCTTTTTAATTCGATTTCCTATAAATACACATTTTGAGTATGCAGTTTTGTAGCCCGATCAATTCAAATAAAACGCAAGTTTAAAATACATAGCTGCGACTTATCGTTGATTTTTAATATTTTTTTATTTTTTTGATGAAGGCGTTGCTCAATTTCTTCATTAAAAAAATTGTCGAACATACTTAGATAATATGGAAGAAAATTACCGACATCGTCAAAAATATGCTATACATCAAATGTAAATCACAGCTACTTTAATTTTGCACTTTGTTAGACTAAAATTGAATGAGCTACAAAACTGCAAAATATTAAGAGATAAAATTGAAATAGAAAGTTCGAAATTTTTACGAAAGATTGTTGATTTTTTTTATGTTGTTCAAAGATTAAACTCATTTTCATTTAGTGTTTGTTAGGGAATAAACTATATTTTTATAAACAAATAATTCAATTTAAAATATAATAAAATAAATAGTCAAATCTAGTCAATATGTGAGTGGCGAAAAATTAAGATATTTAAGAACATCTCTTTTTTAATTAACGATGACACTGTTTCTATATGGAGCTGATTTCAACATTTTGCTTTAATAAAATTTAGTATCGAAAATACTCTTTCCAAACTTGCCTAGGAATGTGATATAATGGTTCGTTCAACCTCATGGAATAAACGAGTAGATAAAAAATATATAACGGTAAAACTGGCACATATATAAATATATGAAATAATGCACTCAGGCGACCCCTATAGCCATTGTGTGTCACAAATTTAAGTTATCGATGGAATTTTTTTTCATCCCACGTATGACGTATTAATATTTATTTCAATATTGTTGTTGAGCTTTGTACCACGATTACGTTTCTAGGAAAAAATCAACAAAGTCTAACAGGCTAACCTAATATTCACGCACGCCGCCAATTTATTGTCAAAAATTTCTCATGCACATGCAACTTGTATGAGATCAACCGAAATTGAACGGCGTGCGTATGAAGCTAACTCAATTTCCAAATTTTTTTCTGCGTGACATTTTGATTTGACGTTTCGCTCAATGAAATCAAATGCAAATGCATGCAAGTCAATTTCGGGTGACGCAAAAAAACATATTCGACGGCATGCGTACCAAAACGCAAGCCGCGAATATTAGGTTAGCCTGTAAGTGGTAGAAGTTATAGCTGCTGTTTCGGAGACAGAGACCGGCTTTGAGTACTAATAAAATTAGTGTACTTATTCATGATCAGGCATGGGCAGAGAACGAGCACACGCTCAAAGAGCGTAAACATCGCGTGTAGGTATACAAGCAAGAGCGTAACGATGAGAACGCGGCAGCATGCAAAATGAATTAAAGCGCAAACAGTCAACGACGTAGCGTAGACGTAGGTTGACGCAGACACGATCTATCTTATGGGATTCGCATCTCAGTATATCCAGTAAAAAAACTGTGGTGAAGTTCTTTATGGGGATAAAGTTTCTAGAGGTGAAATTTTAGGTAGCACACAATTTCTTACACGCATGGTTGCTTTTCAGCACTCATGAAAGAAACTTAAGAAATATTTGAAAAAAAAGTTCATATAGTACATTAATTTTGAAAGAAATACCATATAATGTATGTACTCTGGTTAATAATATCAAAAAATGTATTAGAACCACCGTTTAATGTTATATTTGATACAAATTAATATTGCTGCCCCGAACGCTCTGCGCCTTGCCACTGAATAATAGATTTACTTAAAATTACATCCCTGGTCCTTGTTCTTTCTGTATCGCATCGTGGTGAATTCATATTTCTCAGAAATTTGACAACAAAACCAAACAAAGCAAGTATTTTATTTGCTAATTTTTGCGATTTCTATTGTTTAATGTAAATTTGTCTTTTTAGGATATGTCGAGCCAACAAAGAAGGCGCAGTTGGAAAATTTAGTAATTAGTAATGAAGTAGCTGGCATATTTGGAAAATTATGCCGATAAACAGGATGGAATTTGGGAAAGTAAGTGCATGGTTTCAGCATATCTATGTATAAAAAGTATTTAATTAATTTGTTACGATGTGCTCCAAACATTTGGCGAACTTTTTTTTACCTTTTCAACGTGCTAAGTAACAAGTTAAGATGACTGCCATCATGGG